CGGCGGCGGGCGGCGACAGCCCGGGCGCGGACGCCCTCGGTGCGGGCTGGGGCATCACCAAGGGCCTCGACCCCGAAATGGCGCTGCTGGCCGAGCACCTGCTCAAGCCGCTGCCCGCGGACCGGCAGATCGAGACCGGGCCCTTCCTGGAGGCGGTGGCCCACCTACCGCCCTTCTTCGGTGAGTCCCGCGCGCCGCCAGCCCTTCCCACCTGCCCAGATCTCTCTGCTCCTTCTCTCCCCTCAGACGAACCCCATCACTCCCTCTCATCCATCGCCCCCCACCATCCCTTACTATTGCACCACGGACATGCTGCACCAACCTCCGGCTCCCCGGAACGCCTTCATCCTCGGTTTCATTTTTTTCGTCCCTTTCAGACTGGTTCTCAATTCTCCCCCACCCTTAAAAAGAATAAACCCTGCCCTCCCCTCCCCAGCCTCACCCGACCCCAGGTCAAAGATCACCGCCACCTCCAAGGGCTTGAAGATGGGGCTGCAAAACTCAAGGACGATTTTTAGAGGAAGTCATGAAAAGGTTTTCCTCCGTCTAGGAAAGGGGTCAGGAGAAGGGAAGTGGGTGGGTTGTGGGGGTGATGTCAGTGGCAGGGTGCTTAGTTCGAATCCCTCCCTCCCTTTGGCTTGAAAAGGAGGAAGTCCTCTCCGCCACACGTCAAGTTGTCAAGTTGAAGCTCTTAGTCTCCAAGCCAGTTTCAGACCCTCTTCCTCCCCTCCTCCAGTCCAGGCCTTGTTGGAAAGTGGGAGGAAAACCGATGCCATCTGCCCTGCCCTTTGCCTTGCAGTCCACAAAGGGTGCAACCTGAGCCCTGCTTTCTGCATTGTGGGGACGCTCCCAGTGCCCTACCCTGCTAGCTCATTTGGTGACTTTGCAGGACAACACCAGCCCCCAGGGCAGAGTCCAGGGGAAACCTACACTTGGGCAGAGCCTTGAGGCTGCTTAGCCTGAGGAGGTTTGGCACCCACATACATAGTCACTTGGTTGGCTCCTGGAGATGATTAGGACTTGGTGGGGGGCAGCAGGTCCCACAAGGGGTGTGTGGCCCTGTAGATGTACATCAGTTTTTCTCTTGAGCCCCAGAGTGACATGGAGGTGCTGGTCTAGGCTGGATATGGGGATGATTGAGGCTTGTGGAGAGATGCTTACTGTGGAAAGAAAGTCATCTATGAAGTTCTTGAATCTAATGTTGGGCCCCTTCGTAGGTTCTAAAATGGATGTTAACTCTAATCTTGAATGCACTTGTCTATGAGAGGCTCCAACCTGGAGGGGCAACCTGAGAGCAGGGTCTCAGCTTCCTCAGCCACCGCTGTGCCGAGCACAACTTAGTAGGTCCTCCCTTAAACCTGTTCAGTGCAGGAGATCTTCTTGTCATCGGCGTCTTGTCTGGAGATAAGGTTGCATCTTCAGGCAGGGAGCTGCTGGCTTTAGCTTTGATTTTTATGACATTATGTTTCTTTTTTATAAAATATACTTATTTATTTGCATGTGTTTGAATGCCAGGGGCTGGAGGACAGATTTCAGAAGTCAGTTCTTCCCTTCCACCATATGGGTCCTGGGAATCAAACTCAAATCATCCAGCTTTGCAGCAAGCTCCTTTACCTGCTGAGCCATCTCGTCAACCCTGAAACACTGCATTTTGGGTCTGTGTCTGTTTCCTCCTTGGATCTCTGAGTAGTTGCTAGTTAGAGCCAGCCAGCATATACTGGGGCCTGTGGTTCTCACGTGAGGATAGTTTTGTTCCTTAGTAGATATCTGCAGCTGTGTGGAGAGCTAGTTTTGTTCTTTGTAGTTGAGGGGGTGCTGAATGCCACAGGGCATTATCCAGGTCCTTCCAGACACCCCTCAATACAAAGAACACTGAAGCTCTGTCAATGGCTCCGTGGTGGTGATGGCATGGCTTCCCCGTCTGCACTGAGGTGGCATGTCAGCTCGGCACTTGGGGCACCCCTTTTGAGTATGGGCATCAGGCTGATTTGGGAGGAGATGGGAGGAGGCAACTGGAGCCAGGGCAGAGGAATGTCCCTCCCTCTCTGCTTCTGGTCCCAAAGGATCCTTGTCCTTGCTGCCGTCTTGGGCTGTGGATGTCACAGCTGTGGACAGAAGCACCATTTAGACTGACACTTCAGTGGGGTTGGCCTGTGAGGGGTTAACTGACAGGGGTTACCCTAGAGCCATATGCTGTTTGTACAAAAGAAAGCGTTTGAGCGTGCCCTTTCTGGATGGTGCTTTCTACCGTGGACTCAGGTTTCGGGAGGGTTCTCCCACCCTGGTCAGCTCAAGGTGGGGTCTTAGTCATCATCTTTGGGGTGTCCCTGATTGCTTGGATGAGCTGGGCACAGTGCGTGTGGCCCTGGACTACAGCTGGTCTGGAATGATGGCCACAAGGAGCCTGAGAGGCATTGTGGGAACAGGTTCTCAAATCAGAGCAGAATCAAATGATGATTACCATTTTTTTATTTCTTTTTTCATTAGATTTTTTTAAAAATACCAATCCAAATTCCCATTCCCTTCCTTCCTCCCATTCCCTCTACATACCCTCCTACCCCACCCCCCTCCAATCCTAAGAGAGGGCAAGGCACCTTGCCCTGTGGAAGGTCCAAGGCCCTCCCTACTACATCTAGGCTGAGCAAGGTATACATCCAAAGAGAATAGGATACCAAAAAACCAGTACATGCAGCAGAGACAAATCCCAGTGCCACTGCCAGTGGCCCCTCAGTCCGCCCCAGCCATACAACTGTCACCCACATCGAGAAGGATGAGCCTGGTCCTGTGCTTGTTCTGACTGCCATTTATAGGCACTAAGGATCTAATACCGACTTATCAGTTCACTGAGTTCCTTCATGGACATTTGTCTTGAAACTGGGGTCTTGTAGCTCAGACTGGCCTTGAATCGACTATGTAGTCACAAGCTGTGACTTGGCTACAGTTTCCAAGCTTCTGGGGTTATAGGCATGCACCACCATAGCCGTTTCAGGAGCCTATTGGTTTTGTTGTTGTTGTTTGTTTGTTTTGTTTTCTGTGGAAAGATTCCACTCTGTCCTGGAACTCACTGTGCAGCGCAGGCTGGTCTCAAATGCGGTTCTCCTGCCTCAGCTTCCAAACAACTGGAATCACGGGTGTGTGCTATATTCTTGGCATCTCACAGCCTTTTGAAGTAGGGTTTTTAAAGAGCAGCCTTCTGTCACTTCAGGATATTTTCCTTCTAGGGTCTTCTTTCGGTGTCTTTGAGAGAGAGCAATGTTCAACCTCATTATTCATCTAACTGCATTTTCCTTTTAACTACATAGTGAGGCTGCCTTCCTACGTCCCTTGTCATAGCCATAGTGGCTTAGGATTCTACTTGGATGTGACCGCAGTTTAACAATTCCTCTTGCTGGACTCCCACGCTGTGGTCGGCAGTACTGCTGCCAACATCTCCAGATCTCTTTCTCCGCATAGTTCTTTGGACCTGTTGGAACAACCACCGTAACTCCTCAGGGTGTGGCCTGGGACCATTGGCTGGGCTTGGTCAACACTGATTCTCTCTGCTCCTGTGGGCGTGGGCTACATGTCAGCCTGCTCCTCTGGTTTACAGCATCCCTTTGGGGACTCACCCTTCCTCCGTATCTCTAGCCTGAATTCTTCCGCTCATGCAGGTCTTCCCACATCCACTTAGAGGCTGGTCCTTTACCCACCTTTTTTTCTCCCCTCTGACCCAGTAATTGGATCTCCTGACCGATCGGTTACAAGGCTGACCTGTGGCTCCTGCTCACTTATCTTTTAGGTCAGTTATGCAGCTGCTGTCAACCCAGGAGGCTTGATGCTCCTCCGTAGCTAGAAGCCTCAGTGGTTCCCTGTTGCACTCTCCTGAAATCTGTGCTGCCAGCTTTCTGAATGACTCCCAGGCCCACAGATGGCATTGTGCCACTGTCCCCAGCGTGTTCCTTGTGTCAGCCTTTCTCCTCACTCTGCATACCACTCTACTCGCCCACCCACACACCTCCTTCCTTTTGTCTGGCCGGAGTCCACATGTCCTTAAGGAATTGGCTTAGTGATAACCCTACCCAGACAGTCATTCCTCCTCCCTGTGCCTCCTAGAGCCTATTGTGGTCTGTGGTGCTGAGTAACTTCAGTGCCCAGGACTCTGCAAGCTGGAACATTTGCTGAATGTATCCTTTTATCTTGCTTATTTTTTAGTATCTTGAGGCCCTTAGCAGCCCAGTCCGACCTTGAATTTGTGACACCCTTGCCTCAGCTTCCAGAGTGCTGGTGTTACTAATATACACCACACTTAGCTGCATAAAAGGGGTTTTTTTGGGGGAGGGGCGGGGGAGGTTGTTGCTTGTCTATTTTTTCCATTTCCATTCTTCTAGGTTCTTGCCAAAAATGCTTGGCTTTTCTTTCCATAATAAATTCATGATTAAATCAGAAGACATAATCTTTGTACATCCTACACATGTGGCAGGCATTACTAATCAATCATAATTCTTTTTTCCCTTTTGAGCTTAGATACAGCTTCAGCATCTTTCTTAGAATAACTACTTTCTTAGTCAATTAAAGTTAGTCCATGAGGTGACAGCTATGACAACTATTAGCTGTCATTGTCTCAGGAAAAGTTCGGATGGAGGAGCCCAAGGCAATGATTTCTGCCACTCACTGGAGGTTTAATACTGGGAATGTGTTTCCTTTATTTGTGACTCTTAGCGTAATTAAATCAGTGTCCTTGGGAGCTGGCCTTGCCGGTGCCTGGTACCCTTATCTCTAGGACACTCCCCCGGTGCAGCGAGCCCTTCCTGGACTGAGGACCCTTGGCCACAGCCCTGCCGTGTTTTCCAAGTCTGTTGAGGACTGTTTGCATGTTGACTCTTCTGAAAGAGATGCAGTGGGATTGTGCTCCCCCTCTGCTTCAGCAGGCTGCTGATATCTTAGTGGCAGAATGTTGAGAGGTGGGCTTTGTGTAGACTAAGCAGAATGTGATATAAGCAGCACTTGGAAGAAGAAATGGTGCCCCGAAGGGTCACAGAGCCGAAGAGACACTTCCTGTCCTGGTTTGTTCAGCTTTAAAGTCCTGCAGTGGCGTGGCATTAGAGGGAGGCATTTGCAAATGTGTAGTGAGCAGGCACAGTGAGCCCTGCCTCGTGCTGGTGCTCCTGGCTCTTGCCAGTCTGTAGGATGGCTGCCTTTGA